CTGCTTCACATCTGCAGTCTGTTGCAAAGCATTCTTGTAACCTTGCTCCAAAACAAGAAGAGCTTCTTGTTTTCTCCCCAAAGCCAAAAGCGCACGTCCTAACATGAAATCATGATTCAAAGCTTAAGCAACCATTTCCCTATGATTTTATAGTTCCAAAGCTATGGCGAGAATCCTACTCGATATACTCACTAGTGAACTAACCTTTGAGTAGATAAGCTTGGATAGCACAAGGCTCAAGCTGAAGAGCCTTGTCACAGTCCTTAATCACATGCTTGTGAAGTTCCAATTGATTATAACAAAAAGCTCTATTGCTGCACAAATTAAAATTGAGAGAGAGAGAGAGAGATTAATTACAAAGAGTCAGAAGAAATCAAACTGATACCGATCCGGATTGATATTAGAAGATCTGGAAACCAAACCATATATCGAGAATCGAGCAGTGCTTAGCAAGGAGCGAATCCAGAACTCGAATCGCTTTGGACCAGTTCCGCGAGCTGCAGAGCTTCGCTAATTCGACTCGCTCAGACGCCGCCGCCATTAGCTACGAGCGTGTGCCTGTCTCCGATGGCTTGGTGCTTTATCTTCGTGGCCGTCGAGGGTGAGGGGTAAAATGGGAAAAATAAGAGTGGTGAAAAATTTGCGAAGAGAGAAGAAGACTTTTGAAGAGAAAAATTAAAGTTAACGATGATGGGTATGGTGCTTCCTTCCTGTGGTGGAAATCAAATCCTTGAGGGAAAAAGAGTGAAATTTGCCACACGTGTGAAGTCTCCTGTCACGTGAAATCGAATGTGTGAGAGCCCACTAATCATTGCCGTTCTTTTAAAATGGGCCAGCCCAGTATACTACTAATTAAGATTAGTCTTTTTTGTTCAACACTAATTGACTCGAATTTTAAAAAACACTAATTGTTTTTGATGTAGATCCTGACATATGAAGCTCCATTGATAATTCAGATTCATTCTAACAACCTGAGATCAATTTGGCTCCAAGGGCTCATCAAGACTTTCAAGAAGATGAAAACGATAAATGGTTCAAACACTTGGGAAGCGAACTCGGATTAGAAGACAACGATAACCAACAACAACATCATATTTATGCTAAAAAAGAATCATCGTCATTATCACTTTTGGAGAGTTTACAAAAGATCGTGGTACATCATTAATGAAGCCATAAAGGAACTCAAACTACTGATTATAATTGTGAAGTCGATATACAACAAAGCTATATTCTAGGCACTTTTAGTAAAATAACAAGATCAGATGGGCGCATATAGTTACAATAGTTACTATAGAGCATTAAATATCCAGGCAAAAGATTGATTTTTTGTTGAAACCAAAAAATCCTATCAGCTAGCAATATAAGTTGAGAAAGATTGATTGTCATTGCCTTGTTTCAAAATTGATTTAGAAGCTAAGATTTTTAAATGCAAACAAATAAAAAAAACTTGAGTTCTTTTATAAAGTTTTACTCTCAGTTGTGTAACAATCATATTCCGCCAAGCAAGCAAAACATTGTGGGAGTTTTCTTGTATAACAAAGGAAACCACCATCAAACGTTTTTTTTTGTTCTTGATGAAAATATTCTAACATTTAAAGCTATAAGGTTTAGGTTCCACATAAATGATAATGTGTTATCTGATTGATTCAGTGAGTCATGTGAATATTTGTATTGAATCAATTCTGAAGAAGATTTTTATTTTGTAACTATGTTTTTCTAATTTTATGTGTGATAAATTGATTTAGTAGTTGTGTGCTATGTGAATCAAATGAAATATGAATGATAATTGATCAAAATGGAATATGTTGATGGATTTGTTGTTCTGTCGAAACTGATGAAAGTGAATTATGATGCTACCTTTGCAGTTACAACCCAAGAACTGGGCAGCTATTCCTAAAGGTTTGTCTTCTTCTACCATTCTTTACATCAAGAATATGCTTTTGACGCAACTTCTTTTTATTAAGTCTTATAGCATGCAGTTGGATGTTAAGTAACTGATTTTTCTTCCTATAGGTTATCCGTACAAGCATTATTGGTCAGCTAGCCAAATGCGAAACTGCTGAAACTGTGGCCGCACTAAACTTGTGCGGTGTCTCCCTGTTGAAAACAGCCAAACTAAACTTTTGCTAGTCAAGGAATGCTCTATCTCCTAAGGCACAAAATAATAAATTTTACTAGAATTTCATTTATTTTAAATAGAACCGATTACAATGATAGTACACGTTATTACAAGTAAAACTAATGCTAATAAACATAAGGCGATGTTAATTCCAAAATATTCATGAGTAGCTCCTTCAACAATAATAAAATACATAGATGAAGAAATAAAAGTCGCACATAAAATTAAAAGCAAGCGAATTATTATTTTTTTTTGCTTTTGTTTTTATTATTTTTTTTTGTTTTTTTTTGTAACGAAAATTTGAGGAGAATGATTTGTAAATATTTGAGAGATGAGGAAATGTTTGGATAAGAAAATGAAGTGAAAATGAGTTGTTTTTATAGATAAAAACATTGTTTATTAGCTGTTGACTAGCCGTTTAAAAGGTAATTTTTTATTAATATAATTGTTTAAATTTATTTATGACTGTTGGAAGTAAAAACAAAAAAAATCTGTTAGCAATCTTATATGAAGATTACACTAATGTCAAATGTAATGAAATAAATACTTACCACATTACTATCCGCCGCATGTGAGAAAACTTATTTCAAAAACATACCATATAATAAGCTTGTTAATACACAACATTAGCTTACAACTACTAGATCAGTCAAACCAATTGTAAGAAAAAAAACAACAATTTTTCTAATCCCAAAACAGTGGTGAATAATGTTTCTAATGCATAAACAAATCATTGAAAATTTTAAATTTTGTTAATATCTAAACTTAATAAATACACAAAAATGTATATATCTAAAGATAGGTAAACACATTAAAACAATGTATACATCTTTTTTTGTTGGCTAACTTATTGATTGTGGATTTTACTTGAACCACTCAAATAGTATTAGCCAGAATTAACAAACCACAAATGTAGATACAACAAAAAGATTAAAGTCAACGATGCCACAATAGTACTTATAGAATCATAAGTAAATCTACATGTTTACTTCCCTGAATCTTTAAATAGTTTATCAAGAAAAATAAACTGAAAACTTAGTTTACTTTGTTTCTTTTTGTTTTTAGAAATTTAATTTGTGAGAGAACAATCAAACCATAATGATTAAAGATGGTTTGATTGTATCTACATAAAAAAAATTAATATATCATTTTCTTCAAATAGTAAATTCTTTCATTACAATAAAATGTTTATTTATAGTACATTGATAAAGTTATACTGTGTTTTTTTTAACCAATCATTATATGTATTGATTTCGGAACCAACAATTCTTGTGTAGCAGTGATGGAAGGAAAGGTAAACTCCTTCTCACTTGGCGGTGCCTTCTCTCCAAGACCTTGCTGAAAGAATGGAGAATTGACTCTATCAAGGTCAAATTCTCGTCCTTATTTCAGGTGATAGGGGATTTCGCCAAAACGTGGAGTCTCTGATCATATGAGATGGTTGTAAAGTTCACTGAGAGACTTTGAAAACTTATTTTTTTGATAAAATTGAATTTTTATTTGATTTTAAAATTGTTTGGTTAACAATAAACCGATTAAATCATATGTTTATGTGTAATTAAGTTCTAAACTATTAATTCGAGAAGATGTAGATTTCAAACTATAGATTCGGGGAGAAATAAGTTTATAACTTATAATTTGGGAAGGTATGGCGCGAGGTTTTAGTTTGATGGATATTTGATGTTATATGATAGTTTCGTGAACAAATAGTACGTTTATCCTTCTTATATAGACTACCATCGAAGTGCATTTGAATAACGCATTTTCTTAGCAACAGACATTTGAATAAGGCCTAAACACACAATAAAGATTTTAGTACATTTGTTATATTCACATTAATCTGTTGTAATTAAACTTGTAATATACATAAATCAAAATCTAATTTTTTTTTCTCGACCGGAACTTTTTTTTGAATTATACAGAGGTTTCCTGGTCTCACAGAAGTGATCCAGACTAGTCACGTGTTGCCACGTGTCGGTCCTCTGTTCCTGGCGATGCCGGGAGTCGAACTCAGGTGGCGGTACTCATAGCTGTAAGCCATTTACCACTTGAGATAGAAACCCCGGTTAAAAGATGAAAATTAAATCTATAATCGATGACAAACTGGGGATTTATTGCTTTATTGATTGTATCTCTTCTGGTTTCTCTACCGGAACTTAGGAGAGGATAAAAATTCAATAAAACGGTTAACAATAAATAAATCGATCAATCAAACAGAACCTCAATGTTATTATCAACTGAAGTGGGAAAACAAAAAAAATAACACACAGTAGAACAACAAAGAAGTAAACTTTTCAACTTGACCCAAGTAGAAAAAGGGTTGGGGAGTAAAAGTTCATATTCAAGTCAAGCAAACCTCAAAGAATTGCATTTCTTCTCTTCATTGGTATAAAGAAAAGTAATGAACTTCAGAGCAAATTTTTCATCTCTAATAATAGTCAATTCTTTTTATAGAACAATATAATCACAAGGATATATCATAAGGCATTTTAAGATGTTTTAGATTGACTAGGAATTGTGAGTCTGAACTGAAATTTCAAACATATTGATAATCCAATGTGGGATAATATTTTATAACATTATTACTATTTATTTTTACATACAATTGGTAAGTGTATAATTAAGAAAGAAGGAATCATGTAACATTTAACCACAAATATAGATAGTAATTAATTTAAACAAATCTGATTTGACCATTGTCATTTGTTTATAACATATACCAACTTGATCTGGTAAAAGGAATCTCAAAAGTGTGTGAGAGAGTAGAGAAAATAGGCAAAGGAAGAGCGCCATGTATGTTGTGATAAAACCAAAGTGAAGAGAGGACCATGGATGGGGAGCTACGACGAGGACCTGAAACTCATCTCTTTCATTCAGAAGTATGGTCATAAGAACTGGAGATCTCTCCCTAACTAAGCTGGTAATGTTTATGATCTCAAAGCCTTGGTCTTCCTTAGGCTTTCTAAAATCTTCTGTCTCTGTTTTCTTATGTTTATCCATGTATGCATGTAATGAAGGATTGTTGAGGTGTGGCATGAGTTGTCGATGGATTAATTACCTCAGACCTGATGTGAAATGTGGAAATTTCAGCGTAGAGGAAGAAAAAACCATCGTTAAACTTCACCAGAGCATTGGAAGCAAGTATGCTGTTGGCTTGTCTTGCCTCAACGTTTGGATTCTTCTGTCTTGACAATAGCTTTTCTTCATTTTGGTTCCAAGATTGCTTCTAAACTGCCAGAACGAACAGACAACGAACGAGATAAAAAATGTGTGGCAAGAAAAGATTGAGCTCAAACACCAACAACCTTAATGCCAACGATGAAGCAAGCAGCAACAAAAGGTTCTTTGAATAGAGAATTGAACCAAATCTGGTTTATTTATAAGTTATATAACTCCTCGTTTGTTCTTGAGACGTACTCATGCAGTGATGATAAGAAAGAAGCATTTGGATTCATTCAATAGAAGAGAGAATGTTTGTTTTCAAAGTAACTCATTAGACTTATACAAAATTTTAAATCTAATGAAAAGCTGACATATCTAGTAGTAGATATTATTTCATCTTCTTCTTCTTATAACTCCTAAACTCCTAAGCAGAGTCGGTTCCGGTCAACAAAGATTTGGCCGGAGGAATCATAGCCACAGCGAACCTTTCTTCCTTGGAGTACTTCTTTCGCAAAGCTCCCTTCTTACTACTCTCACTCCCTTCTTGTTGGTGCTGCTGCTTCCACTGCTGAAACGCCAATAGCTTCGCACAATCCCTGTTTCATCATTCATCATTGTGTAAACAAAACAATCAATCAGCTTGATAAGTATCTTTTGTTACACACACACAACTCACATGAGCTGAGTCTCAGAATAGCCGGTGTGATGCTTGAGAGTGTCGGTCCAGATGGGAACTTGGTGAAGAGCTGATCTTGCTGCGTAGATTGCAGCTGCAGCAACCATCGATGGGCTGAACATTATGGTTGTGTCGTAATGCATCACACCTAACTCCGCTAGATAGTGCACCATATTCTCCATCTAAAAAAACAAGAACCAGTTGAGCTTGTTTTATTATATTGTAATGAAAAGAAAAACATGGAAGAAACTGAATGAAGAGCTTCTTTACCTGTTGGTCTGCAATGGAAGCTTTGATGAAACGTGCGAGGAAGACATAATGTGTCGGAACTGTCAAGTACCACTCAAGTGTAGACAGTATTGTCTTTTCCATCACCAGAATCTGTTTGTGACTGTATGCATGGTCTGCAATGTCAGTTAGATCCTCCACCTACAAATATAAAAAAAAAAAGATTTTACGTTTTAAACTTAGCTATACTAATCAAATGATTCAAAAGTTCTTTTCTTTGTTTATTATATACCTGTGGTGGCCAGATCTCTTCGTATTTGGATGACATGAGAAGAGCACTGAGACCAACCAGCTGCAGCTCTTTTCTAGGTATAGGCTTAGCAGACAAGAACCGATCCATGATGTTAACAGTGAGGTAAAACGTTTCAGGGTTTAGCTCGAATCTGACACAGACATCTATCAACCATTCAACGAGAATCAATCTCATCTTCTCGTTAATCTCAGGCTGAGACCTCATGTAATCAGTTGGACGCCATTCACTCTGCCAATGTTTATACAAGTTTCATTAACACAAATGTCACAAGGGAAAGATTCATTTATAAATAAGTAAGTACTAACCTCAACAGACTTGTAGAAGCTGTAGATATCTTCAACATATTCAACAGCTGCAAGGTCATTCTTAGCGTCAGCAGAATCGATATCAACAATCTCATCCTTCTTTTTCTTCTCGAAACCACAAGCAGCCTGAACAATAGCAAACATAAATTTCAGAACTGTTTCACACAATGAAAAGAATCATCAAATTTAAAAAGTCTTAACCTTGCTTCTAGCGGTAAGAACAGATGTGTAAGAGACTGATGTTTTCTTCTTAGCTGCAGCGGCGGCTTTCTTCTTCTCCTGGACAGCAACTAAACCATGTTCTTCATCACTGTCTGAGCTAATCTCTATAACCTCTACATCCTTAGGTTTCTCAGCTCTTTTCGTTGGCTTTGGTACCGCGACTCTCCTAACCACAGGTTTATCAAGCTGCATGCCAAAACGATATAACATGAGCTATCAATCAGATCTTCACCAAAAGGAACAAACTTTGAGATGATTTACCTCAACGAGTGGGACACGTTGAGAGCGTGTACGAGGATGATTGATCTTAGCCTGGTCGTTGTTCTTTGGGTGATTTCGTCGAACAACATTGCCTATGTCACGAAGAACTTGACGGTTTCTTTCTTTCCCACCATTCTTGTCACCATCTTCCACAATAACAACAACATCACCTTCAGACAAAACCCCCAAGTTCACATTTTTTTTTAGATTCAAGTTTCAAAAATTAAAGATTGGATTCACAACTAAATATAACAAGAAATTCAAGAACAGAAATCTCAAAGCCCAGAAACAAAGAGGTCAGATTTTTATTCATATGAGTTCTGATAATAAAACCCTAAAAGATTCTTAAAGAATATTCTCCGATCAATCTCTATACTTTTCGTCGCTTACCCGTGGTGGTTTGCTGAGGAACAAACGATCGAGACGCCATCATTTTCTTTATTTTCGTTACTATTTTCTCTCTTCTTCTTCTTCGTTTTTTTTTACTTTCAGAAACTTTAGTCGTCCGATGATTAATACTGAAATAGTGGGGCCTCTCTATAAAGGGAGGCTTCTTGAGGAAGATGAGCGGTTTCCTCCAACGGTCTGATTTTTTCTAATTTTGATTTGAACGGCGCGATGGAGTCTTCATCCAACGGTGGAAAACTGATGTTTAATTTTTATATGACCGTTTAGGGTTGAGACTCTTAGGCAACGGATATGTGAAAACCTTCTTGCATAAGGCCCACAAGCCCATTAATTGATTGGTCTGTTACAAATTGACTGTGCAGCATTGTAGAGAGTTAAACACATAGAGCTTTAATTCTAGCTGGCAAGCTCCATAGTGTTTGAATTTGAATATTTAGACCATTCATCTTTAAATTGTTTCAGATAAAAGCACAATAACTTCTATAATTCGAAAAGAAATGAATTGTTAGTGTTTTAAGTGTCTCTAAATAGAGAGAAGTTACACTTCAAAATTAAAAGACCACAAGGTTTGGCTTTGTACAAGTTTGGTATCATATGTTGGAACTCCAGCCTTGACTAATGTTTCAACTTTGTACCCAAAGGAAGTTCCTAAATAATACAATAAAAGAGTGAGAGAGACTTTTTCAAACAGTTTTAGGTTGAATTTGTTCCAAGTTGAAAACCTCAGACATGAACCTCGTAATTGTTGTAGCCTTGATACAAAAAGCTTGCATTCTGGACAAATACTTATAATTGACAATGTACCAAGTACACATTTATAATGTAACTTGAAATATTTATGTACTAACTTTATAATTCTTCAAACTATTCCATAATTTTAAATTGTTCTTCAAACTGATTCAGTACTTTTAATCATTTTTAACTATAGAAATCAAATACAGAAGCAAACTAAAAAATACAGCAAAGACAAAAGAGTGAGAGAGAGACTTCTCAGACGACAGCTTTAGGCTGAATCTGCTCAAAGTCGAAAACCTCAAACATGAGCCTCCTAACATCAGGCTTTCCATAAATGGTATACGCTAGACCGTGAATAGCTTGTTGAACAGCTGTTGTTGCCGGGTTTCTAAGTCTCCGGTTATGTTCATACCGGTCATGAACCTCCTCCGAGTAGATTATGAAGTTGTGAAGACGTTTCTCCCTCAGATACCTACCGCAGAACTTGTTCATCAACAGACGCCTATGCTTCTCTTGCAGCCATTTACCAGGTGCGTCCAGGTGCTTCATCAACAAACGTTCCGCCATTGCTATGTCCTGTATCTTTTGGCCTACGTATTCTAATCTCTCGAAACAGAACCGCGGGTGTTCAAACTTGTGCTTTGATGGATGCAAGAAGCAGAGCTGTTGAGTGAAATTATAAACAAAAGGTCAGCAAAGAAGGAAAGTTTACATAGTGCATGAGCAAAGCGTCTTTTTATTATTACCTGTAAACCGAGTCCAAGCTCGATGTTTCTTGCTTCAGTTATCTCTTGGATTCTATCATTCATCTGTAAAGGATAACCTAAAGCCTGCATGACTTTAGGTTTGCTGTCGAAATCCCAAATGTTTCCTCTGAAACGATGCATTCCAGGTGGAACACAAGCTCTGAATAGCCTCGGATGTGCGAATAAAGCATCTTCAGGAGGCTGGAGAAAGAAAGAAAAAAGACAATGTGTGTAAACACTTCTTCTCTGATCTAATGTAGCTTTGATCCATTATTACCTTGTAAGTAGCAATATCTTGCCAGCTTAGCTTCTTGCCTTCGAATTCAACAGAAACATAATCTACATCCTCAAGCTGTCTCCTAGCTCGAGGTTGGCAATCATCAGCATCTGGATCCATCCCAAATACCTCAAAAAGCACACGGTACACTTCCGGCATCCCGTAACATAGATAGATGGCACCAAACAAAGCCCAGAACACAGACCTAACGTCAACAAGACAAAGTAAACATATGAATAAGTAGTAAGTATCTTTCACACAAAAAAAAACACTTTAGAGCGCACAGACTCGTCAGAGTATATGATTGCAGAAAAACATATAAATCGAACTAGTAAATAATGAGACAAAAAACTCTGTCTTCTCTGAAAGCTTTACTCAGCACAAAGGACACAGTATTTATAACACAAGCCCAGAAGGAATCAAACACAAAGAGAATAAAAATATTCAGAGGAATTATCTAAGTTACATACAAAGTAATAATAAAAACTTAGACATGTGTAAACATTAAAGATGATTCCCTAAACAAGTTCTTGACTAAGATTCAACTCTGAGCTCAAAGCAACTTAAACTATAGACTAACTCAACAAGAGAGGAAGGAACTTACTTAACGGGTGGCTCACGATCTTTCCTAAGCAACTTATCAATATCATCATAAGGGAAGACAAGATTCTGCAAGTTAGCCGCTTTGATCCACTTGGGTAGATACCTCTTCCCAATCAAAGCAAACACTCTCTCCCTCATAGGCCCCGGAGGCTCCCTCGGATACCTCTGCAAGAAAAACTCGGTAAGCGCAAGCTCAATCACATACTGCCCCAGAAACCAAAGCCTCGAGTGCCCATTCTTCACGTGCCTCGCACGTGCCCTATCACAAGACGGATGCTGAAACGCCAAATAAAGCAACGTGTCGAAATGCTTCGCCGGATTCTCGTCGCTCAAGCTCTCCGAAGGCTCTAGAGAGTAACCCAACGCTTGTTTCGCCTCCAAGAGATACTCTTCGATCCACGTCTTGTCTGCGTTGTTGAGCTTCGAAGGAGGGAGGCATGAGCTGAGTAAAGGGAAGGATTTGAGGGAGAGCTGCGGGCTGTTGAGGAATCTTTCCGCGAGCTTCTTGTCGTCTAGTGGTGGTCGGAGGATGAAGCGTTTGGGAGGGAGTTTCTTCTTGGGGCTTGTGGTGGATTGTTTGCGTTGGGCGAGCTCCTTGAGGAGGCGTTGTGGGCTGTCTCGGGGAAGGCCCTGAGTCTCCGCGGCGAGGGAGGAGTGGATTCGGAGGTTGGGTTTTGTGAAAGTCGATGACTTTAGTTGGATTCGTGAAGGGAAGTGGGAGATTGAGGAAGAGAAGGAGAGTTCGGGTAGTGAAGAAGAACGGTTTCGGAGGAGAGAAGAAGATGGAGATGAGGAACAAAGCTCCATCAGGAATTATTGTAGAAGAAAACAATGGGTTATATCATTAAAGCTTGAGACGAGGAGAGTTCTCGCGCAAGGCGCGATTTTGATGATGCAGAAGAAGAGAAAATGGTGAAGGAGATTGTTAATGCTCCATGGATAAGGTGCAGATGTCGCGATCCCGTGGCGGGGATAAGTATAATCTTTTGGGCCTGAGAAAGCCCATTTAAGGCCTAATAGTACAGTGAGATACATAAGCTCTCTTTTTCTTTTGGGTATCTCAGACACATAAGCCCATTAAAGCCGAAATTTCTTTTTTTTTGTCAACGCCGAAATATTTGTTACTTTTTTTTTTTTTTGAGAAAGGAAAATTTGTTACTTTGGTTTTTGGTTTGAATTCAATTTGCTTCTGTAGTTTTGTATAACCAAAATATATCCACGTATGATATGTAAGTAATTTGAAAATTTATAATTTCACAGTTTGAGTTTATTTACAAAAAGCACGTATAAGCTCAAGTTTTTCGTTGGGATCTTTGTTACATTGGATGCTTCATACTTTCTCTATAGCATGAGTTACTTCAGAGGAAAAGTGAAAACTAAACCATGAATAATTTTGTTTTGATCTTTATATTGTATAGTAACATGTAATCATGGCAATAGACTATTGATACAATAACGTGATCATATTATTGAAAATACACTTTACAGGAAAAAAAAAAAGATTCCTTTCGTGTTACTCTTTGTTCCCTCGATCACATGGCACATGATAGTCCGACTTGTATCGAAATAATGCTATAAATATTCAACACTAGGAGACGCACGAGTCCTCCTATTTTGGTCGTTTTAGTATTTTCTACGTTCATTTGTGTTATTTTTATACAAATTATTTAAATAAAATTGCCTGATCCAAAACAATCCTGATAGTAATACTTACATATATTATTTTTGATTAATATATGATATATATCTAATTGTGTTTTTTTTCGGCTGTAGTATATCTAATCAAGTAATAGGATAGAAATATAGATTTACGTGCCTATCCTCTTCTTCTTTCCGATATCATCATATTTTGATTTTCATATTCTGATTTCACGGATCCATTTATGTAGGTTAAAGTTTCATTGTTTTGCGTTTGATCAAGTTAGGGAACAGTCTATTGTTTTTTCTTTGAAGAAAAACAGCTATTGTTACCTTAGAAAGTTTTTTGCAATATTAAATGTTGCAATATTGCAAAACTTGCAATTCCACTCACGTAGAGCAGATGATTCCACTACTGTTTCGCCACAAAAGTGATATAATGAATGATGACTTTATATAATGCATATGTTCTGCTTTTAATACCCTTCCGCACACATCCTTTGGTCATAGCCAAAGCTTTGGTGAATACAAATAATACCAATTATGGACTGACTTGTTTAGTCTTTATATCTAATATTGAATATTGTGTTAACAAATGACCCTTCCACAACTATAAATAATATAGATGTTTTTATTTTGTTTCCTTCTGATCTGCTCCTTCCTCTTGTCTGCAGTGATTACTTGTTTTCTTTATAAAGGCATATATTCGAGGAAGACAATTCAAACATTTGCTTTTTCCGTGTAAATATATATAAATGAATCTTAGATCCTTAATACCAAAATTATTAAATTATAGTTAAAGGGAACTTTTCATCTTTGATAATGCAGGCACATTATATCTGATACAAACAGGCTATTAAGAAATTATTGACATTTTTGGGGAGCTCTGTCATTTAAAAAAAAAAGGGTTTGTGATTTTGACAGAACTATTCCTTTAACAAAACCAGCTTGAAAATTGTCTAGAATAAATTTTATTTTTTTTAACAAGTTTTATTGTCAAGAATAAGTTACTGAGCTTAACATACATCTTTGTTTTCTTGTTTTCCTTTCTTTGGAGAAAAAAATCAAATTGCATTTAACTTAATATAGACGATTATTTCCACCATTCAATCAAATCAATATATATTCTTGCACGGTATTATAAAATACTCTTATTTTATTTTATTTTATGTTTAACAGAACTACTTAAAGGCATATATATAGTGAAATTATTGGATATGGTTTCTTAGGAAAAGTATACAAACTAAATGATAAAATAATAGAAGCGTGATTGCATTCACTTGCATTGCATGGAGTAGCCCCTTTTGAATGACTGAATTGAAGAATAGTTCTCGTCAACGAAAGTTTTTGTGTCTTTTATTTTTTAAACGTCAACTAAAGTCTATATCAACAATCGCCTAACCATAGATAAAAACTAAATCTATGTACAACCAGTAGCTCTTTGATATAACGTAAGAAAAATACAGCCATAACTAAAACCATTTTGATGCCTACTGATTCGGACAACGTGTAACTTTCTTCCCTGGATTTGTAGTGTAGACTTTAGAGCTCATACGTGTTTAACTCGTTGACTACAAGATCCAAAACTCTATTGTATGGTTAGCAAAAAAAATATGAAACCGTGAGATTCCTTCTTTCTGTTTTCTTTGGGTATTATATTGCTAATTTTCAAAGGCTTCAATTGGTGACCATCTTTTATGGGGAAAAACATGATGAATTTGTTATTCCTCAAAATTGATACCAATTAAGTTGATTTTTTTGTCAAACTAATTTTTATGGACCCCACCACATTCCTCTATGTTCCTCATAATTAGAGGAATTAACGAAGGAGTATTTTCCTCTACTAAAACTGATGAGGAACGTTTGTTCCTNAGGCTTCAATTGGTGACCATCTTTTATGGGGAAAAACATGATGAATTTGTTATTCCTCAAAATTGATACCAATTAAGTTGATTTTTTTGTCAAACTAATTTTTATGGACCCCACCACATTCCTCTATGTTCCTCATAATTAGAGGAATTAACGAAGGAGTATTTTCCTCTACTAAAACTGATGAGGAACGTTTGTTCCTAAATGTTGAACTTTTTTTTCAATTCAATTCTTTAAATGAAAATATGTTCAATTTTTTTCTTTTCATTTTGTTCATTTTCATCATCACCAATTGAAGCCAAAATAAAGATAATTGTAGTTAATTAAGACTAATCAACTAATATATGTATCTAGAAAAGTATAACAGTCAGGAATAGTGGTTGAGATATGAGAAAGATTCAAGGTGGCTATATAACACAATTATTCGCAATGCTAAGTGAAGCATCGTTATCAATCTCGATCGCCATCGCTCTCTATTCCCTCATATAGATAATTGTGATATACACACACAACATTTAGACAAAACAGTATTATGATATTGACAACCTAACAATGATAAAAATACAAAAAATAATGGCGTGTAAAACGGATTTTAATTACATAACTCAAAAGATATGAAATTAACCATAAAATTATAATACTTAATATCAGTCGTTCAGAGAACCTTAAAATGATGCCAAAAGTTACAATAGTATTTAGTCTTATTTCTTATAAAATAATGAAAATGCAAGCTGGCCGGTGCTACTTGTGCCCACTATAGAAAATCATATATAAGTTCCTTTACTCCATTCATGTAATCATAGATATATAAACACGAAATTAAAATAATATATATATAAAGAGAGAAAGCGAGTTGAAATAGTTAAAACAGCAAAATGGCTGCGAAGAATCTCTTATTGCTCTGTATCTCTCTTTTCCTCACCGTTAACCTCGTCTCCGCTCAACTCCGCCGCAACTTCTACGCCGGAAGTTGTTCCAACGTTGAACAAATCGTCAGAAACGCAGTTCAAAAAAAAGTCCAACAAACTTTCACCACCATACCCGCTACTCTCCGCCTCTATTTTCATGATTGTTTCGTCAATGTACAATATTTTTGAATTTATTTTTCTTTCTTAACTTTTATTTTGATTTTCATTCATTATTTTACATTTAAGTATTTATTTTGGGTCTAAGTTATGAAATTAATTAATGTCTTAGGGTTGTGATGCCTCGGTGATGATAGCATCGACCGGTAATAACAAGGCGGAGAAAGATCATCCAGATAATTTATCGCTGGCTGGAGATGGATTTGACACCGTCATTAAAGCTAAAGAAGCTCTTGATGCCGTTGCAAACTGTCGTAACAAAGTTTCTTGCGCCGATATTCTCACCATAGCTACTCGTGACGTTGTTAATCTCGTTCGTAACTCATCACTATCATATTCATTACATCAATCACGAATCATAGTCATTATCGTTAATGTTTAAATGATATAAATTATAGGCGGGTGGACCAAGATATGAAGTGGAATTGGGAAGGCTTGATGGGCTGTCGTCTACGGCGGCTAGCGTCGAAGGGAAGCTGCCACAACCGACGGACAACGTCAACAAACTCACTTCACTTTTTGCCAAAAACGGCCTTAGCCTTAACGACATGGTCGCTCTCTCTGGTAAGATATTGTTATTTCATTCCGACCAAACTTATATCTAGTGACTTAACATGACAAATATTTCTGTTTAGTTTGATTAGGATTTTTATTTGGTTTGAGAATAACAAAAAAAAGTGTTAAAATTTTTTAAGCAAATTCATGATAAATAAAATATTTTATTTTATAAATATTTCGTTTTATTTGATCCGGTTATATTAATAGTTGCCAATCTGTGTCTAGTTAAATTTTCAGTTAATGGTAATTCGGTTCGGTTTAAAATATTTGGTACTAATACAAATTTGGTTCGATACTGAAAACAGGAGCGCACACATTAGGATTCGCTCATTGCACCAAAGTGTTCAACAGGATTTACAGTTTCAACAAGACAACGCAAGTAGACCCCACAGTTAACAAAGCTTACGTGACAGAGTTACGAGCGTCATGTCCTAGAAACATAGACCCAAGGGTGGCTATAAACATGGACCCAACAACACCTAGACAATTCGACAACGTTTACTACAAAAACTTGCAACAAGGGAAAGGATTGTTCACGTCAGATCAAGATTTGTTCACTGATCGTCGGTCAAAGCCAACCGTTGACTTATGGGCCAATAATGCAAACTTGTTTAATCAAGCTTTTGTTAACTCCATGATCAAGCTTGGTCGCGTTGGTGTTAAAACTGGTCGTAATGGTAATATCCGTCGTGACTGTGGAGCTTTCAATTGAATTTAAACACACTTTGATTTCTTCTCTTTTTTTCCATTTAATTTAAATTGGGCTTTAGAGTGGTGTCTCATTATTATGGTTCGGCTCCAATATAATAAGTCTCGATTTTGGGTTTCAGTTTGCTAAAGTAAATGCAAACCTAAAGTTGTATACATTTGTAAGTTAGAATCTTAAGAGTGTTAATAAATTTGATTATCATATTATGAACCGGTATATCATACATGATATGTATCAATAACAAATAAGACTTCGTAATAAGTGAGTTTGATCGCGATTTAAATTTGTGTCAATGATTCATATGCATTCCCTTATCTCAAATCATCTAGGTTGGTAGTAGTGTTTCAACTTTGAAATTTCAACACTTTGTGTGTAGGTTGTTTCTTGGGTAATAAAGGCCCAAGCCTTTTATCAGTTTATTCATTTTGTACTTACTACGATAATATTATGTGTAGCTTTGGTTTCACACTTTCGAATAGAAGTGATTTTCTATAATAGCTGGGATATATTATTATGCTGACCAAAATAATATATTTGGGTTTACTTCCATTTATATTGAATGTTTTGCTCAACCTTAACTATAACGTATTTGGATATACATGTATCTGTGTTCTCACGACAGAAAGACAAATTTAAGACCACTCAGTCCATTCATGTATCTAAATATTTGTAATCACACACTTGAAAGCTTATATAAAAAGAGAGTAAATGACTAAAGAAAATTGAATAAAAATGTCCACGAACAAAATGAATCTCTTATCACTTCTTCTTTCTCTCTTTCTGACCCTAAACCCAACCTCCGCTCAACTCCGCCGTAATTTTTACGCCGGAAGTTGCCCCAACGTCGAACAAATAGTTAGAAACGCCCTTGGACAAAAAATCCAACAATCTTCCATCACAGTTCCCGCCGTTCTCCGTCTCTACTTCCATGATTGTTTTGTCAATGTATAGTGTTTTATATTTCAATATTCTTTTTGTAACTGACAAAATATCAAATTATTTCATATATTTGCTTAAGGATTTTTTTTTAAATTAATAAGTTTAGTTTCACAGGGTTGTGATGCATCGGTAATGATAGATTCTACCAAGAATAACAAAGCGGAGAAGGATCATCCCGAAAATCTATCGTTATCCGCAGATGGATTTGATGCCATTGTTAAAGCCAAACAAGCTCTTGACGCCGTTCCAAATTGTCGTAACAAAGTTTCTTGCGCCGATATTATCACGATAGCCACTCGTGACGTTGTTAATATTGTTCGTATAATACTCTATATAATACCCACATTTACAACATCAAACAATTTCTTAAGTACTAATTTTGATTTAATATAGGTGGGTGGACCATGGTATGACGTGGAATTGGGGAGGTTGGATGGGTTATCTTCGACGGCGGCTAGTGTTGAAGGAATGCTGCCACAACCAACCGACGATGTTAGCAAACTCACTTCACATTTTGCAAAGAAGGGGCTTAGTCTTGATGATATGATCGCCCTATCCGGTAAGTTTTTTGGCTTTTGATTCGAAGTAGCACCATCAATGCATATAAATCAATAATACAAGGATAATTTTAAATTATACCATTGAAGACAAACTTTAATGTCGTTTGTGATCTATCTAATGATAGAAGTTATATTAATATGGCGTAAAATTTGGTATTCCTAAATTTGTTTTCCACTTCTAACTTTTTGAAATTGTTATACGTTTTAAGTTCAAAAATCTCTTAAGTGGACTACTTAGTTGAGACCATGAAGGACTAGCAACATATAAATACATATATTTAATGTTTTGGATCGTTTCATAATAACAAGCATATTTATTATTGCATATAAGATATTGATATATAAAAACAGGGGCACACACTATTGGACTTTCTCATTGCACCCAGGTCTTGGATAGGATTCATGGTGTCAGACAAGACCCGAGTATAAACGCTACTTACTTACCACAACTCAGAGATTTGTGCCCTAGAGACGTTGATCCGCGCAAAGAGATTTTTATGGATCCAACAACACCGGGAAAATTTGACAACGTATACTATCAAAATTTGCAGCAAGGCAGAGGATTCTTCAAGTCTGACCAAGCTTTGTTCAGCGATCCAAGGTCAAAGCCTACCGTTAACTTATGGGCTAGTAATGGACAGTTGTTTAATCAAGCTTTCGTTAACTCCATGATCAAGCTTGGCCGCGTTGGTGTTAAAACCGGCCGTGATGGTAATATCCGTCGCAGTTGTGAAACTTTTAATTAGAAGACAATCTTTTTGAAGTTCAAGGAAATAATGAATATCTTTCTATTTTATTCGGGCATGTGCAGCAAAACTCTGAGCACGTAAACTAGAGATATCGACCCTGCTAAGTTCATCAGTATGTCATGTGCAATAAGTTCTTTTTTTTTAAACAAGTTAACAAGAATCACTAAAATATTAGTAAACTAAATACAACAAATTAGAAACTGAAGATGACAAAAGAATAGCTATGTGTTTAAATTTGAAACATTAAAAAAAAAAGAAAATGATTATTGAATAACATTTTCACTAAAAATGTAACAATACGATAGTTTCACTGGATAATTAATAATGGTTTAAATGGTTTATGTCAGGACTGAACAATTAGCTTCGATATGATGTTTAGCACCAAATATTTAAATTAAAGCGTTAACGTAAATACGTTATAAAACATGATATTATAAAATCGCTATATTCTATAACAAAATATATTCAGTAGAGAAACAAATCTTTTATTGTCACAAAGTAATCTTTTCTTTTTACCCCCAGCCTTTATGCGTGTATACTAACAAATATCATGAAAGAAATGGCTCTTTGCATATCCAAAAGCCGTCGGGTCCCGGAAGCCTCATTTTCATCGTACTATTTAATTAAAATTAATTATATACCCAAATTAGCATATTTTAATATTGCGTACTATTGTACTAATCTCACCTGAAAATTTGGAATCCATGGGAACCGAATTTATCGTTTTGCTTCTTCAACAAATCAAGTGTCAATCCTATATAGGATTTATTCGTATAGGATATTTATATTTCATATGAGCTGGCTCATATAGTGAAAAACTGATATATATAATTCAAAAAACTAGCAAGTTGGACAAGAAATTATTAAGTAGAGTATTTAAGTACGTTTTCATAGTGTTCATTGGTCGATGGCAGATTTTAGTCAAGTTATAGTGTGTCACATTTATGTAGGCAATAATAAATATTTATGTATTTATACTGATCAGAAGTTAAAAAAATTTCTAAAATATTTATACAAGTTGGAGGTAGTTACATGTGTGTTCAAATGAAGTTCTATAATATACTGTTTAGTTGGGATTTATCAGTATTTATAGACCAAAGTAGAGAAAATCGCTATGCGTCTTATTAAAATGTGTTTCCTAATGTTCTCTACTATGTATGCAATTATGTTGTGCTAGTAATCGAAACAATATTCAAGGTTGGAACCACTATATTTCATGTGTGTCAAAGACTTGAGCATTCTCAACAGATTATTTATAATACTAATCGGCAAAGTATTATATCACCAAAAATTATCATATTTCTCGATAGAGAAAATAATTAGGTAGCCAATAATTATGCGGCTTCACAAAAAAACCCTAAAAGGGACCGTCGAAAAAAAACTGAGTGCGAAGAGTTTGCGTCGTCGGTTTTAAACAAAAAGATTTAATAACTTTTTCTCTCTTTTGCTTCTGTATCCATCGCCGTTGATTCCATTTTCATAACACGACGTCGTTACAGACTCCTCCGATGGACTTCCCGGATGATCCCCATTAACCGCCTTCTTAAAAGGCTGCGCTTGAAGAAAAGGAACCGGTACAACCGGTCCGGTAAGAGCTAACCTATGGTTCAACTGAAGGTCAATATCCGGTTCAGACCGCTCGGTCTTCGAACGTTTACGGTTCACCGGAGATTCTTCACACCCCGTCGTAGTAAGCTTGGATCTTGAGGTTGAGAAACGGCAACCGTCTGGACGCTGCATCCGCCAGATCTCGGAAGACTCATCTGAAGATATCAACGACGGAGAGTCGTGGAGATCTGAGATAGGTCGTAAAGTCCCGCCGCGAAGAACAGTTTCAACCGCCGCTTGGCACACTTGCCAGTTCCCAGTCCATAACATACCAACCGCTCCGTTAACCGGATTCACTGTCCTCCCACACGCTTCAAACAGCAACGACTGAAACAAAGCTAAACAAAAAAAAACACAAACAAATAAATCTCAAGTTATTACAAAAAGTATCGAATCTTGAAACCTAGCTTATGTCTTGTATTAACGTATTATATTAAGAAATAATAATAAAAAAATAGTCGTACCAGGGCGGTTTGGTTCGGGTACAGCGGAGATGAAAGACATGAGACCGGCACGGCCAAAGAATTTAGCAACGAAGACGGTGGCGTGGCCTTGTGATTCGGCGGATTCGATCCATTGAAGGCAAGGACGAAGGATGCATGTTTCGCTGCAACCTTTTCGAAGAACTCTACATCCATTGCAACTCATTTTTATATGCCGACAAAAAATACAAATTCGAAATTTATGAGAATATGTATCCAATATTATGGGAGCAAGAAACACAAGTTTTGATCTGATTTGATAGAGGAGAAGAAACAAGTTAGAAGATGAGAGAGAGGCCTAGATTGGATTTATAGAGGCAAGTGAATAATAAAAGAGAGAGAGTGTGCCAACTTGTTTTCTTTTTTATTCCTTTGTCCTTTCTTTTCCATTATTTTAATTTAAACCTTTCTGTATATAATATGCATAAAATATAAAATATTTCAAATTTTTAGGAAAGAGAAGAAACTCAAAAAAGTTTGGTATTTAGCCGCTTATGGTATTCTTGATATAACTTTGAAAACTTCAAATAGTTACGTGGATCAAGAATACGCGGTAAGATAGATTTATACAATATATAGTAGGTAATTAACTCAAAGAATTGAATAGTTTAGTTTGTACTTACAACTAAACTAAACAAAGAAGGTAGGTCAGGGCGAAAGAAGAAGAAAACTACAAGACTACAAGAAAGGACAGCGTTTGGGAAGTGATTCCAAAGGTATTGGCGTTGGGGGAAGAGAGAGCGTTTCCGTTTCTCCGCGAACACTTGTCGCTGACTCAGACTCGTGTTTTTTTGATATTACTTTCTTTGCATTTTTAAAATATTCGTTAGGTTGTAGTTGTACTATATTTCTTTCACTCAATAAGTACTATAAAGAAAAGAAACAAAGCTGAATTTAGGATTTGATAGAGATAAAAAAGGAATATACAAATCTCAAACCTTACGTCAGGGGACGATGGGGTGCACGTGGATTTGATGAAATTATTGGTACAACTTGTGGTGTGTATTTTCATGAGATGTTTTTAATTTAGAAAATGAAAAAAGAGGAGTTATTTTGTGTTCATTGGTAGTTATCGTGTGTTTCTTGATGATTCGATTGTGTTGGGTGGTGAATGAATCATATGCATTTTAGTGTTTAATCATTTGGAGGGCACTATTTATACAAAAGAAAAGATTATGAAACTAATAAGCTAATCACAAGAGGGCAAAGTGTTAAGAAAAAGAAAATAAAAAGAGACGACAAAGTGTTGTGGTTATGTTGATACACAAATTCTTATATAGTATTCTCTAGTAGCTAGGCCAAAGAGTAAGATCACCCGGATAACCAATCAATAATACTAGTTTCTTCTCGATAACAAAAATGGGGTTTGCATCGCTATCAATATAGTTTTATGTTTTGATTGTTTGATTACGTTCTGGACATCTGGATGTTAGATCATGCATTTCCCTTCTTTTCTGTTTGTCGACAACTCATGTATTTGCAATCAAATGAAACTAGTATAAGTGTACTGCTTAAACCATTATTTTTTTATATGTGTCTATAAACCTAAAATACTGTATAGGCAAGGCTGAATTCTAGCACAGCGGTGTGAAAATCGGTCTTGACCCCAATTTTTTTGTGAAGTTTTCTACGTAAAGATAGACCTCCAAATTATGAAAACAATATATTTTTAAGAGCTGTAAATTTTTGTTTGTATTTATATATAATCAAAATAGTATATTACAAGAATCGTAAAATAAAGCATTGCAAGAGTTTCATTAGAATAATAGAAGAAAATAAATTACGTATGTAATCGAAATCTATTCTGTAACAATGTTAATCTTGTAATATCCACAATATTGCTCAACACTTTAACTTGTACCAGTCTACTTTCATGTACTTCCAATCACTTTGGAGCTATCAAAGAAAGGGTATCATAATAACGAGAGAGGAACGTGGTGTCCATGAGTCATGACCTCGTCGTCTTCCACAAATTCATGTGTGTCCAGATTATATAAACATAAATCAGTAATAACAAGTACAAGTACTATAAAAGGTTATTTAGTTTATTGTATGTTGACTGCTATTTACATTTGACTCTACGTACCTACGAGTCTACAAAAGCCATTATTGACCCTTCGCCATGTCCAAAGGCTCTTCTCTCTGCGTGTGAGTGTCTCTCTCGTATTTTCTTTTGTATTCTATTAAAATCAAAATATTTTCCCTTCTAAAGAAAATAAAAATGGGAAAAGTGGCAAATTTTCAGAAAATAAATCATACCTAATTAGAGAAATTTTAGCTCACATCATATTCCACTCTATGTCGGAATAGGTCTCAGACTACTACTTAAAGTATAATTAGGTTTATTCTTTTATAGATACGACATGTCTACCTGCAAAATGAATCACAATTTACTGACACTAGTCCAAAGTATTTGGTTGCTATTTTTTAGTAGTAATAAGCAACATAAATAGGGCTAATGTAAAACATACAAACAAGTATAATTAGCGCATCAAAGCATTGAAGCATCGTGTAGAGACATAATGAGAAAATTGTTAACAAAAACAAAACTGAACTTACATCATTTATGAAATAATATACAAACTGAGTTAATTTAAATCGTGATGTCATATAATAGTAGTCATTGCTAAACTCCGGTTTTTTTGAGAAAAATGTTTATCAGAACGATATATAAATATATGATAACAGTCAGCTACTACATGATTTTTAGTTTTTCTTTTTGTAATGGTCACTAAGAAAATCTTCCGGTGTATCTTAGTTTCTGCTTTACGATGGTAATTTGGATATGGAATTTAAACATTTTCTATAGCTGTTCCTGTCACTTCTGATGTGGCATACTTATCCAAAATAGCTTTTAGCTCTGTCTTCCGTACAGTTGAACTGGCTGGAATGTAACATGCAAGTAGCAATCACACTAATATACTACTATATTATTTTATTAGTCATGGGAATGACACGATCATATCAGATCTTCGTTTTCTTTTGCTTGAACAACACAGATCTTCGTTTTCATGTTGAAAATTTTCTTAGTTTTTTTTTTTGAAATGGCTTTCAAATGACTTAGTTTTATATTAGTCGATATGCACACATAAAAATAAATCAAACCTTAGTTGTGTTTTTTTGTAAACTAATCAAACCTTAGCTAATTACTTAATTTGGCAATAAAACATATTTGATTCCTAAGAGTTGGGTTAATGAATATAATGGAACATTGCAAATATGTTTATATTTGTTTTGCTATTTTAGTTTCTAATAAGACTAACCGAAAGAAAACTATAATTAAGAAAATTAGGACTTAAGATTGATATTTGAATGCATCATTTCATTTGAACAGAATCCGATAGGACCGACACCACCAATGGAGATTTTACCATGTAATAGCTTTTTTCAACTGGAAATTAAAACCTAATCTCAAAGATAAGGAAAAAAAAAAGATATTAGACTTTTATGATCAGGCCCATTCCTGGTTTAAACACACATAAAGTATTGAATTTAGGCCACAGTTATTTTTATAATTTCACATATCTAATATTTTGTCAGTGAAACTTGTTGTATGTGGTTTTGATCTCTAGAGTCTAGACTGTCTTTAGCTCAGTTCTCTTGTTAGCAACGTTTTACAAAATTCACGTGGATTTAGTTACCCTAATGAATTAATGCATTGTGTTAACTGTTAAGTATGTACTTTTTATTTAAAATTAAGAATGATTTAGTGAACTACCCATATTTGAAGCTCAAATTAGCAAAATACCATTGATTGGACATGAAGGACACTGACACAACCATTTGGCAAGGAAATGCCGAGAATGTCCTTTCTCTTTCCTCTCATTAACACGAAGCGTAAAAACATTTGTTAACATATAACACTTCTGTTAACGTCTACAATATGTGTTAACAGTCAACACATTTATTACCGCGAATCCTAAAATAACTGTTAACAGTTAACACTTTTGTTAACGTCTACAATATTTGTTAACAGCGAACACATTTATTAACGCGAAGCGTAAAAATAATTGTTAACAACTAACACTTCTGTTAACGTCTACAATATTTGTTAACCGCTAACACGACGTCGAATATAAAACCCAGAAAATTGATATCATCAAAAAATTGAGGATTCAAAGCCACTTATAAAAAAAATAATGAAATTTAAAATTTAATTGTATATAGAATGAGAGAGATTTGTAAAATAATTAGGGATTAGAGAGAGAAAAAAAAGGTCAAAAAATTGAGAATTCAAAGCCACTTATGAAAAAATAATGAAATTTAAAATTTAATTGTATATAGAATGATAGAGATTTGTAAAATAATTAGAGAGTGAAGAGAAAAAAAAAAGGAGAAATGTCAAAGAGAGGAGAGAGAGAGTGTAGAGAAGGGCAAAATCGTCACACGAAAAGCAACAGTCAAATCAAGGTTAATTCACTAATTATAGGTGGCATATAGGGTACTTTAGCCAATTAACTCTAAAATTAATTATATATTTTATATGATTAATGTTCTTCGATGCTTTGAGGGCCACTTAAATTACTGGGCCGGGACTGTGACGAGCCACGGTAAGAAAAGTTGATGACGCCTACAACCACATATAACACTCAGAACAACAATAACAAAAGCTAAATCAAAACAAAGATACGAGTAGATTCCTTTTGCCTTTTGGACAAAATCTGTGGGATGCTTTTAGGTTGAAAGCTTTAGCATATCCTCTGTTCCAGTATAATCCAAAGAGTATTTCAATGGTTGATCTGAAAAAGAAGGCTAAGCCATCGAACCCGGATTTCGATCACTTAGAATGTATTTATTAATAGTGTCTTATAGATTTTAAAATTAGATGAATTTCTCATTCGAAATTTTAAGAGTTTTATATTATTTTGATATATAGTTTTCATTTAACTTTAAAACATAACAATACAGTAATATTAATATGTATGGAAAAACCTATAGTTATAAAGATGCTCTCACTTGCAACTTTCTCTCCGCCACAGAGACATCAACACGTCACACGCATGTATCTACCCACTTGGTTCAGAAAAACAAAAAAAGGTCACCTTTTTAGATAAAGAAAAGTCTTTACGAGAAGGTGAAACATGCAAAAATATTACTGGCGTCTTAGTTGTGGTAAAGATAAGATAACAATGGTACCCACTTTTCAATGTAACAAAGAAACAAAACGAGATATATATTGTTGAAGTTGAGTTAAACAGAGCAAATGTAAACATAGAGAGAGAGAGAAGAAAGACCACTGTACTTACTAGACTTTGATGGCTCCGTCGACTCCAAGAGTGGTGGTAAAAGTTGATCTGAAGAAGAAGCCATGGGAGCAAGATCAGCCACTGCATAACAGATGGCATCCAGAGATACCATCAGTAGCACAAGTTAAAGCTGGTGAGTTTTTCAAGGTAGAGATGATTGATTGCATGGGAGGTACTGTTAAGGACAACAGCTCTTCAAGCGATGTTAAGCACGCTGACCTTACTATTGTAAGATGATGGTTTAGTTAGAATCATGTATGAATTATAAGATCAGTTATGCACCAAATGAAGTTTCTTTTGGTGATGATTGTGTGTACAGTCTCATTGCCTAAGTGGACCAATCAAAGTTGTGGATGAAGATGGTGTTGCAGCAAAGCCAGGTGATCTTCTTGCTGTTGAGATATGCAACTTGGGACCTTTACCAGGAGATGAATGGGGCTTCACTGCTTCGTTTGATAGAGAGAACGGTGGTGGTTTCTTGACTGATCATTTCCCTTGTGCTACAAAAGCTATTTGGTATTTTGAAGGGATCTATGCATACTCTCCTCAAATCCCTGGTGAGAGAGAACACAGTCCCATCTCTTTTTGATGATTGGATCTTTGTTGTTGTTTGATGTAACTCACCATCATGTGTAGGAGTACGGTTTCCTGGTTTGACACACCCAGGACTCATTGGCACCGCACCATCGATGGAACTCCTGAGAATATGGAATGAAAGGGAAAGACTAATAGAAGAAGAAAATGGTGTCAAGCCGTTTTCACTCTGTGAGGTTGTGCATCAGAGGCCACTAGCAAACCTACCAACGACTAAAGGATGCCTTCTAGGGCACGTAAGTGGTAGTTTAGTACTTAACTCAGACCTCTAGGGAACTCTTATTACACAACTCTTTTTGTAGATTAAAAAGGAAACACCAGAATGGGAAAGAATTGCAAAGGAAGCTGCAAGGACTTTACCTGGAAGAGAAAACGGAGGAAACTGTGATATTAAGAACCTAAGCAGAGGCTCTAAAATATACCTTCCAGTGTTTGTGGAAGGTGCTAACTTAAGCACTGGTGATATGCATTTCTCTCAAGGTGATGGTGAGATCTCTTTCTGCGGAGGCATTGAGATGAGTGGATTCCTAGAACTCAAGTATGTTACAGAATATTTTCTTAGATGTATGTGCTATGTTACTGAGAACCTCTAACCATTTTGTGACTTATCAATAGGTGTGAGATCATAAGGAATGGGATGCAGGAGTACCTTACACCAATGGGACCTACTCCTCTGCATGTGAACCCAATCTTTGAGATAGGGCCAGTGGAACCAAGATTCTCAGAGTGGCTTGTCTTTGAGGGTATCAGTGTCGATGAGAGTGGGAGACAGCACTACCTTGACGCAACGGTTGCTTACAAAAGAGCGGTTCTCAATGCTATAGACTATCTCTTCAAATTTGGTTACTCAAAAGAACAGGTACTAATTAATGGTCTTCTCTACTTCTCCAAAAAAATCTAGTTTATCACAAACAAAATCTAGAAACTGATAAATATGGTGTGAACAAGGCGTACCTGTTGCTGTCATGCTGTCCATGTGAAGGAAGACTCTCTGGGATTGTTGATTCTCCCAATGCTGTTGCTACACTAGCAATACCTATTGCCATCTTTGATCAGGTATTAATGAAACTGCATCCCTATGTTCTCTTCTCTATAGTCAGATAGCTTTCAAAACATGTTTAATGCTTTTGTATGTTCACTGCAGGACATTCGGCCAAAGACTCAGAAGGTTCCGTCAGGGCCGCGGATAGTGAGGAAGCCGGACGTATTGAAGAGCACATATGATGGAAAGCTTCCGATTACAAAGAATCCAAGTGGTTCAACATAACTTCTTCTACAACAAAAGTTTGTATAATCTGACATATATTGTGAAATAAGGATGCAAATGTTGTTGGATGTTAAACTCAAAGTATTAGTTTACGTCAATACTAACTTAGAAAAATACTAACCAGGAGGTAATGCTTCTTGTCATTGATGTATATAACATAAGAGACCATCTTCATGGCATAAGTCAACAAAAAATGTCGTTTTCAACTTCTTCTCATTGATGCATATTACCCACACAGACACAAAGAGAGATACGTGTATCTTATGGCATTATTGTCCACTTGGTAAAAGATGAAAGAAAGTTAAAAGGTCTTCGATAAAGAAAAGTCTAAAATGTCTTTTAGCTTGTGGATAAGGAATCTGCCAAAACCAATGATTCCTCTTTCCATTTACAAGAGACTGAGAGAACCCAAAACAAAAACAAAACAAAAAAGAGGTGGTGATATCTCTAGAGCTTGTGAGTAGACAAGTTACTGTACTTAGTGAATGAATGGCTCCTTCAACTCCTAGAGTGGTGGTGAAAGTGGATTTGAAGAAGAAGCCATGGGAGCAAGATGAGCCACTGCATAACAGATGGCATCCTGAGATACAACCAGTAGCAGAGGTCAAAGCTGGTGAGTTCTTTAGGGTGGAGATGGTTGACTGGACCGGAGGTGCAATCAAAGATGATGACTCTGCTGAAGATATTAAGAACCTAGACCTCTCCACTGTAAGGAAGAAACATAAGTAAACCAATCAATGATGAATTTGCATAATAGATTAAAAGTTTATTGGTGATTGTTTTGTGCAGGTTCATTACCTGAGTGGTCCTATCAAAGTTGTGGATGAGGAAGGTGTTGCAGCAAAGCCAGGTGATCTTCTTGCTGTTGAGATATGCAACTTGGGACCTTTACCAGGAGATGAATGGGGCTTCACTGCTTCGTTTGATAGAGAGAATGGTGGTGGTTTCTTGACTGATCATTTCCCTTGTGCCACCAAAGCCATTTGGTACTTTGAAGGGATCTATGCATACTCTCCTCAAATCCCTGGTAAAGACACAAACAACATCCATGTTTTTTCTTTGTCAAGTACATTACAACCTGTTCTTTGTTATGAGGCATATTAAATTTTGGCAGGAGTAAGGTTTCCAGGTTTGACACACCCAGGGATCATTGGCACTGCACCATCAAAAGAACTTTTGAGAATATGGAACGAAAGAGAAAGACAACTAGAAGAAAGTGGTCTCAGTACTGTAACACTATGTGAGGTTGTGCATCAGAGACCACTAGCTAACCTACCAATAGCTAAAGGATGTCTCCTAGGGAAAGTAAGTTGTATTAATGATGCCATGAGAAAGTTTTTATCCAAGTGTGTGCTTACCTCTGAACTCTAATGTAGATGGAAGAGGGAACACCGGAATGGGAAAGGATTGCAAAGGAGGCTGCAAGAACAATCCCAGGAAGAGAAAACGGAGGAAACTGTGATATTAAGAACCTAAGCAGAGGATCTAAAATATATCTCCCAGTATTTGTGGAAGGTGCTAATCTAAGCACTGGTGATATGCATTTCTCTCAAGGTGATGGTGAGATCTCTTTCTGCGGAGCCATTGAGATGAGTGGATTCCTAGAACTCAAGTATGTTACTTACATAAAGACTTTCATATATGTTTATGTTTTGGCGCTATGTTACTAACGAAACTCTGACCACCCAAATAGGTGTGAGATCATAAGAAATGGGATGAAGGAGTACCTTACACCAATGGGACCAACCCCTCTGCATGTGAATCCGATATTTGAGATAGGGCCAGTGGAACCGAGATTCTCAGAGTGGCTTGTCTTTGAAGGTATCAGTGTAGATGAGGCAGGGAGACAGCATTACCTAGACGCAACAGTTGCTTACAAAAGAGCGGTTCTCAATGCTATAGACTATCTCTTCAAATTTGGCTACTCAAAAGAACAGGTAACTGATAATTTTCTCTCACTGTCTTTGAGAGAAAAAACTAATCAAAGAAACAATGTTGTGTATGTATGTATGTACAGGTATATCTCTTACTCTCATGTTGTCCATGCGAAGGGAGAATATCTGGGATAGTAGATTCTCCAAACGCAGTTGCTACACTTGCAATACCCACTTCCATCTTTGATCAGGTAACTGAGAAACCAAAGTTTGCTCTCTGTTTTATATGTTTTAACTGAGTTGTTGTTATGTTCTGGGCATAGGATATAAGGCCAAAGACTCGAAAGGTACCAGCAGCAGGACCTCGGATTGTGAAGAAACCAGACGTTATGAAGTGCACATATGATGGCAAACTTGCAACTACAAAGAATCCTAGTTCTTCATCTTTTATCTAAGACCCTAGACTCTGTATAAGCAAGCAAGGATGTTGTTTCGATAGCGAATCAATTCAAGAAACCATAAGGCAATAATAAGATGCTCGTTTAGTCACATAATGAAGTCAAAACATTTAGTTCTTCTACCTATAGAGATATCTAGACAAACTAAGCAATTGAAGAGAGTAAGTTATAGAGAGGTACAAGTATTCTCGTTAATATATTTGAAAGCTCTCTCTCTGCTTTAAAACACGTGCGGAGCTGCTGAAACATGGTGATCGTAGACGAGATTTTAGCTACTATCCAGAAACATGGTGATCGTTTTAACTCAAAGTTTTGTTAACGAAGAAGATGGCGCCACTCGAGCAAAGCCCATTAGTAGCCCATTAGAAGGCCCAACGGTTTGTTTAACTAGTATCGTGGCATTGGGATCCTCAAATCTATTACGCATAATTTTGTTCAAAAGAGTTAAATGGTTTTTTTTTTGGTAAAAAGGCAAAAATCTTAAAACTTTTAATTTTAACGAAAAAAAAAGAATTTTAGTTAATTATGTACTTATAGCTTATTGTTGTTCAAAAAAAAATCATGTAGTTTATGCTTTTAAATATAACGGATATTCTTGAAGATGTTATTGACAATAATATGCTATATTTGCGGGTTACAGTAAACACAAATGTTAAAACTCTAGTTCTATTGTTCCTGTTGGTCCATTGGGCTAATGTAGTTCATGTTTTTGCTAAAATATCAAACTAGTTATTGAACTTCTCGAGAACGTTGTTGTTCAAAAGGTCTTTGCTAATTTAAAGACAAGATCATTTATAAATAATTGACGGTGCTAGGATCTTACCCTACATCACGATCTTCTTCCTTTTTTTTGTAACCGAACATTACGATTTTTAACGGTAGTTAATGTTAATCAAGATTTTTCCGTATATCTCTCCAACTGTTTAACCAAAGTTATAGCAACACACGGTTACGACATGTGTAAAAGAAAGAGCACAAACATCTTCACGAGAGAATCGGTTATGTCGTCTGCTCATTCTCACATGTATGCGTAAATGTGTAGGTAATGAATTTTATCATGATCATGATTAGAATGGCATTTGATTTGACAAGACGAACCACGTAGAGGACGATGATATCGATATTATTATATATTACAAATTTTTACCAGTCGGTACTCAGTATACTATGTCTTTCTCTTTTTATCATCCGTGTCGAAAGAAGATTTTTTTTTTTTTTTTTGAATTGAAAAAGAAGATTTTTTTTTTTTTTTTTTTAACAACAGAAATTTATTAATTTATAAAATGTAAACATTACATAAAAGTACTAACTATAATAAGACATACATTGAGTTACATAAAGAATATGCAAGAACAACTTATAGGAAGTAACACTTGAAGACGTTTTTGCCCAAGAAGCTTCTTTTGTTTTCCTATCTTCATACAAAGTATCAAGATTATCGGTTGTCTTCTGCACATTCACATTTGATCTAATACGATTTCCACACTTGGCTATCATCAATGAGATGAAACTCCAAACTTGATATCGTAACATAAACATGGTAAACACCAATTCCTTTTGTTGTATAACATTGGCCAACACCCAATTTGGATCTAACCATATTGTTCGATAAAGAATCCAATATATTGATTCTTTTGAACAAAATATAAATTGAGATTGGCAATTTTCAACGATTATACGAACATCGCCATACAACAAAAGGAATACATCTTCAGATTGAAACCATTGTATTTTCCTTCGTAATTTCAATGGTTTCCTTTGCGGTTGCATCACCATAACCAATCCACAAATTTGATTTCCAAAAACCCAATATATTGATTTTTCAAACAGAAACCAAACATGTGATAGTCCATCATCTTCAATATCCCCGCCTGTAACACACCATGGTGACTCCTCTTGCACTGATACGTTAATTCTCCATGAATATAATATGCCTGGATCCCAGATTCGTTGTTCATAACACCATGTAACTTGTTGGGATCGAAACTGGACATCGCAAAGGATCCAACTGGCCTTCACGGAGATAACAAGTTCAGTTTGAGTGAAATCAACACATTGAAATACACCCAAAAAGAACCATAAATGCAACATCTCCATAATTGGAGAAGACTCTTTCATCAGAAGAAATTGTCGAGAGAGAAACAAATACCTTCTCACCATCACAAATAAAATCAAAGTGCAGAGCCACCGGCAACGCCGGCAACCCAAACCCTATCGCCCTTTTAATCGCCTCTTGAGGAAGCGGTTTTTTTATTTTTTATTTTATATGAAAAAGAAGATTTATTTACATTACACATATAACAGAAACTCAATAAATTAATAAATACAATAAATTAATAAAATTATATAAACATGAGCCCATAAAGTTAATAATTTATATGTATATACATATTATGTAGTACAACTAAATCATCATATTATTTGTTTTATATTCATAACAGAATTATGTTTCATATTCTCTCATCGCTTAATATATTTTCTTGAAATTTAGTAAAATTATATTTAAAACTATATTTAAATTTCATGAAACATTTTTATATACACAAAATAAGTTAATAAAATCAATATGAATAATCATTTAAAACATAATTAATGTAGTATAAAATAAAAAAAAAAAATATTTTTTAAATATATATATATATATATATATTAAAATAGAAAACTAGAAAACAAAATTTTTCGTTAGTTAATAATTCTAATTAATAAATATCATAATCTCAACATTATTAATATATATAGTTTTACTGTATTTATATATATGTCTTGCCATTTGTACTACTGTTAGCACAAACATTATATTCTGAAAATATTCGACAATGATATATACATTTTTACTGTTTCATTTATGATTATTTATAATTTAAAATTAAAGAAAGGTAATACAACTGCTTAAGCAGTATGTGTTTTGGTGCCAATTACACCATTTTTCAATCGCATCAAGCCATATTATACGCATAACAGTTACTTCATATAGATCCAAGTATCATTTGTGATTATGAACGAGTAATTGATACACATATTTTGACAAAAAAAAAATTGATACACATATTTCCTCAAAAATAAAAACTACACACATTAACTCGCTTGTTTTCCGGTTAAATAGATGATTACCGAGTTCAGCTCTAGTAGCTTAAAGCCTGTATTGTGTCTCAAAGTTCGAAGTCCGAAATGATTATTGGTTTGCTTGTTTCGTTACTATATGAATGCACATTATAGTGCCGGGATAAACTATTTGCAGTACAATATTATTGTAACAATAATATGATTCTTGAAGATTAAGATAATGAGGAAACCTCCGAGTTACAGCCAAATGGCACCAAAACAAGAAAACCTGCAACTGCTAGCAGAAGTCCCATCTTGTTCATTTGACTATTTTTTCTTCACCCAAATAAGAAAAAAAACTTAACAAAGTCCAATTATTCACACTTTCAAATTCAACAAGGAGAAGATAAATAGATGATTGTTTATTTGAATTTTAAATAAGCTTCTTTTTTTTTGCCAACGCCTGTTTGTTTATTTTAATTTGTGATTTCCTTTTTATGATTTTAGTTTTATCACTGCTTTATTCATTAAAGTGTTCATTCAAAAGGAAAATAGTCTAGAGTTACTGAAAAATAATTCTGAGTTAGTTAGTTTGAAGCATGTCATATTAAATATTATAAGCGAAACAGAATAAGAAAAACAGATTTATAACTCTATTATACATAAGTACATAACCAATAGATAAAAATACAGTGGTGTATTAATAATTTTATGGTTTCGCGATAAAATATATATTTCGCTTAACTAAATCTTATACTCCTAGGTAACAAATCTAACCAACATTATTTTTATAATATAATTGTGTTGTCTTTGATTAAAATTCAAGCGGGAGCATACAATTAATGGCACAATAATATCCCAAAGCAAATTAAAACTTTCATCAATCAGATTGACAACTCTGGACCATGGGACTAGGCTAAATTGATAGATAAACTTTGTTTTTCAAAATAAATAAAATGAAGGGATAATAACTAGTAGATATTTTAGTACTGTACATTGGAAAAAAGTTATACAAATCTCTGATTTTCATATATAACAGATCTCTGATTGTTTTATTATTATTATTTTTTGACTAAAAGATCTCTGATTGTTCCTGCCACAAACATCGTGATTCTGTATGAAACGTCATTTCAAGCAATCTTAATTATCGTCCACCATTCTCCCTATCATAATGCACTCTTACACCTTCATTCACATTCACTTATCGCAAATCAAAAGTTAATGCCTAAAAAGCTCGTAGTGATTCTTGGAACATCCGGTCTTAATCTGATATAATTTAATGGCCAAATAGCTCGAACTAGCACTAACATAATATTATTATAGATTGGATTGTTAACACCTGTCCAAAACATTAAAAAGATTATCTTCTCTAACTTTATAAATTAAGAAGTGTTAACAACTTCTAAATACATATCTCAAAGGAGAGTTGTAATTATTATGTTTGCGTGTTGAAGTTTATTTACAATATAATTGCTAAATACATTAATAATATATATATATATATATATATATATATATATATATAACCAATAATCTGTTACATCAATAAAAATCAAGTCTTCGATTTAGCTCGTGAAAGTATGATCTTAATTTTTTTTCTCCGGTAGCTTAATTTATACCAGAATAAATCAAAGATAAACTAATAAAAACAGTTTAAAAACATCTTATATTATCTATCGCATGTTAATATCTCTGTAATGTATATTGACATGTTTTGGGTATCAATGCATGAACCTAAACATAAAGAGAAATTTATACGTTCGTTCAGGATAGAGGAGTAAGCAACATGCACATAAACTTGGTGATCGATCGTGACAGTTGGTGGCAAAGTTCCGATCCGGGGATGCAGCGTTTGCGTTTCCCAAAAGTTCTGTATCGTCCATAGTAGCCGGTTGGATAAGAATCAGTTAGCACCGGTTTTATGATTTATGCCTGTACTGTTCTTTTTATATTAT